CATGCAAATATTTAACATAAGGGACTTTTCTATAGGATACATACTATAAGTGGCAAGATTTCCACAACATTCCACAAGAACATGTTCACTTACAAAGAATTACAGTTTTACTAAAAGGAGCATGAACTGTGGAACTTGGAGATGGGAAAGATGTGTTATAGTAGGGAGAAATAGATGAAAAGCTTTTTTGGTTAATACTTGTGAGGAAATAGCCCCCCAAGGCAAATTTCAGAAATGGGTGAAGTTTTCCAGTGGTCTCTCTGCAAATCTCTTTTAATGTAACCTCTGTCCTTTTGCTGCCAGCATAAGACTTGGACACAGTGTGGCATGTGTGGTGACAGAGACGTGTATGGGTGTCGGATGGAAAACAATGAGCTGGTTCATGCTGACATATGATTGAATGTGTGATTCCCCCAAATCTTTCAGAGTTATTGCACTTGGCAATGAAATGCTTGGTAAACTAAATGAATTTAAATCAATTTCAAGCAAGGGATAAGGTAAAAGATATTCAGGCATTGTGGACAAAGACAAAGGAGAAGGGAAAGATCCACATGGGTGCATTTCCCTTGTCCAGAGAGGACTATCTCTGGGATATCGATTACTTCTATATAAAGTTTTGTTTTCCTCCCGTTGATTTTGAAAATTGGGGTATTAATCTAGTCTGTCTGCCTCCAAACTTGTAACTTTCCCACTTTATGAAACTGTCTCATTGGATAGAAGTTAAAAGGTGGCAGATCTCAACTCAGCATAACGAAGAACTTTATAAGAGTAATTACAGGCTTATATGTTGCAGTGAATGTCTCATCATTTCTCTCATCCAAGTCCAGCTCATTGTAAATGAAGGATGCTGTAGGAAGTATTCTTGAGTTTGGAGGGTACTCCCAAACTTCTGTGATGTTTATGAATTATAAAATGCAATGCCTAGTGATGTCATACCCACAACTTAGTAAGATTTTTGTTTTGGATTCACATTTTGGTATTGCTCTAAGAGACTGATACAGTGTCGGACTTTGACTTCATTTGCAAAATTCTGCAGTTTTCTGTCTGTTATTGCTTGGTCTTTAATTTGTTAGGATTACTAAACAGGACAGATATGAAAGATCTGTAAGTTTTTTTTTTAAATAATAATTATACATAGCCAAGTTTCTTCAAGGACTTGTTGGCTTATTAGTTTACAATTTTTGCTATGGAAAAATGAACTTTTCAACAGCTTTAATATTTAATGTGTACTAAAGACATTGTTACAGGTTTGGAAGATACTTTGGCTTAATTAGGTTTTTCTTTGCTTTCTTGACCAAAAACTACTTTTCTAGGATTATTTATGAGGTTGATAATTTTTACTCTCCTTAGTTTTGAATTTCCTTCACCTCCAAAGCTTGATGTAGCTTTGGAAACACATTGTGAATTCTGCAGTGAAAGGACATGCTTTTAGAGGCTGTGAAGGTTCATTTGGATTCTATTTTAGTTCACAGCAGTATCTTCTACTTCTTGTTTCTAAGCTGAAAGAACAAAGCCATGTCAGCAATTTTGATCTGATTTATATTTAGGATAGTACTTACCATGAGAGGGGTAACCAGTAAACCTTTTTGTAGGCACTCATTTGATAGAACCCCAGGGTTATAGTGACTGAAGGATGTATTTTATGGCATATGCAGAAATGTCACCATGGGAATAGCCTGCTTGTCAATTCAGATATGACTGTGCTAAAGGAATCCAGTTGCTAGGTGGAGTGATTGGAAAAGATAAAACAAAAGGAAAACCAGTTAAACCAAACGTTGCAGCTATAGAAGTGCGTTTGAAAGAAACCATTTGTGTGTAAGTATTGGGAACCTTCATTGAAGCATAACTCCTATCTTTCCGTTGAATAGCTGAGCAAAGGGACATGTTGCTACTTTAAGATAGGACAAAAAGCCCCCCCAAAAAATGAAAGGGAGAAGCAAGATAGGAAAGGGCAAAAATCATAGGACTTTGTTTTTATACATTGATACAGCATAATAGTAATTTATAGCCTTATTTGAAAATAACTTCAAGTATCTTTTTATTTGATGCAATGTAAGTAATATTCTTAAGGCAAAAGTGTTTTTTTTTTTTAAAGAAATTTTAGGGACTTTGTGCAAGTGGCTTGTGGTAGAGTTAAACATGGACAGAGATGAGGACACCATGACAGTTCTAAAGTGGGGAAGGAGGCCCTGCGTGGGCCACTGGATTATATTCAGCAGGAGAACTAGAAGTGAGCTACATTTCAGAATGTGCACTTTATCTTTGTAGTCAGTAATGTCAGTGGGTTTTAGATAAAACCCTCAACATTTATAGTTTTTTTTAATAGCTGAATAAATAATGTATTACAGCTACTTGAAAATATGGCTAGAATAACCCTCAGACACGCCACACTAAAACTGTTTTTACCCACTTCAAATTGCTCATTAGAATTTCCTGACTTGACTAGAAAATGTTTTTGATACCATACATGAAGTGATTAGCGTGCATTAGTACTTTTAATAGTATAGTCAACATTGGAGGATATAATTGTACTTAAATGCTTTCATAAATTATTAGATTTCTCATAATTGGTTCCTTTGAGATTTGGAGCATAATTATCTTTGTTTTTAATATCTGAAGCATATCTCCTACAAACTTTGCTGAAAACACATGAAAGAATTATAAGTATTATGAATATATCTGATTATAAGCATATTTGAAATTCTTTAATTTGATTATCTATGTTAAGTCTCTGGGGACAGTCTTTTAGCAGAGTCCTATTATTCACCAGAATACTCCAAATATCTATTTTTATAGTAAGAGAATCATGGAGGGTAGCTGTAGTGCTTGTACCTGAAGAGCTGTAAGTCTTCTGGACTCTGTAGTATTTGTTCCTATTTTCTAAAATTGCAAGTTGTGTTTGGGAAAGTAAGAGCTAGGAAGGAGGATTTATTTATTTATTTTATTTTCAGGATGGTTCTGTATGTGTGTGTCTCTCTCCATAGGAGTATCTGGCATCCAATGTGGACAGACTTTGATGAAGCACTGATCTTTTCACACAGTGGTGATCTTTGAGTATACACAGTAACAGCCTCCTCCCTGGTGGCTTAAGGGGTTAAGTCTCAGCACTATCAAGTTATCCAGAGCCACTGCAGCACAAGTTCAAGCCCTGCCAGGGAACTGACCTACATAGTGCAGCAGACATCTCCTGCCTCACTCATTGCTCCCCTCAGCAGTGTATCGTGTACCCTCTGCCTATTCTGCTTCCCACTTTGTCTCTAGTGAATCTGCTTACTCCCTGAACCTCAGGTCTACACCCCATAAATAAATAAATGCTAAGAAAATGAATGTACACAATAACACATGTATGGATCCAAAGGAAGGATCCAGTGGAAGAGTTTGAAGAACGAAGAGATGTTTTTCATGGAACCAGCTCAGTGGGAGTTGAAAAAGTCTGTAAGAAGTATGGGGTTAGACCTGTAGGAGAAGGAGTTGGGAGGGAACATATCAGGTCTTACACTGAGATTCTGATATCCCTTAGAGGCTGGAGGTAGAAAAAGAAAAAGAACAAACTTCTATTCTAGAAACATGAGATTGAGAAGCACAATGACAAGACTGGATTCTGGATAAGAGGAACACCATGAAAATGGTGCTTCTTCATTCACAAATTTTTTCTTTCATTCATTTACTTATTCATTTATACACCCATCATCTATTAATAAAGCCAGTCAATTAAAAAGAAAAAAAAAACCTGTCATGTGCCTTTTTGTTTAAGATAATAAACAGAAGAACTACAGTAAAAGTCACAATTTCTATTTCCTGTTTGTTTTAGTTTCCATGAACATTTTGGAATATCAGGATATATTCCAAAGGTAGATTTTTTTTGTTCCCTTAATCTGCAAATATAGAAAACTGAGAAGAAAATAGGTAACAACTATGTGGAAAAGTTTCTGTACTGCTAATAGACATTTCTGTGGGCTACAAATTCATTCTTATTATTTATTTAATAATGGAGTGATGTTTTTCTTACTGCTTATCTCTGTAGATCTTCAGTCAATACTTTCTTGTTGATGATTGACCTATCGTGAATTAATCCAAATTTTTGTGTTTAGTGATCAGTGTTCATAGTTGATGTGTTAATTTGCACATGTTACATATGTTCACTTGATATATGTATATTCCTATGCAAAATATTACTGAAGTTATTTTTAAGGTCAATATTAATGCCTTGAAAAATGGCTTGTAATTATTTTATTTTTGTCCTGCTCTGCTAAAGCCTTCTCAGAGGCTTCTATCACTTTATATGCCAATTTATATTCATTTATTTTTGTCCAGGAAAATAAATAAAAACCCTAAGTTTTCTACAATAAAAATCCTCAAGTAAATAATTCACAAAATATTTAAAGATAGATTACATCTTTTCCAAAGTCCTATCTGGTTCCTCATCTGGGTCATCATTGACAACAACAGACAAAATATGAGCTCTGCTGTTTCAGTGCTGTGATTTCATGAAAGTCAGAGTACTTGGATACTGGAAGATACGTTTCATTGACTTGGCCATTCTTTTCCACTTAACACTCCTCATCAAGTGCAAAGTGCCCTGGGCTGGGTTATTATTTTAATCATGAACATACTAGAATAGATTAATTTGTTAGAGAATCCAAGCCCAGAGAGCATGACCTCAGAGAACAGTTGGGGAATATCTAGTTTCTCACTTGGTGGATTTAATACCCTGGAATCAGGAAGAGTTGCTGAATATGTCTTTCCTACTGCATGATTTTCATGAAAGTGCTCCTTTAGAAAGTAGTATTATTTATTTATTCATTTTTTATGGAGGTAATGTTGATTCACAATAATGTAAATGTTTTAGGAATACAGGTTTATACTTCTTCACCTGTGTGACAACACCACGCCCATAATCAAAGTACTATATTTCTCTATCACCCTCTTCACCCTTTGCTTCCATCCCTAGAAGGTATTTTTCTTTATTAGTGTTTTTGTTTGTTTGTTTTTGTGCACAGGCATCATGTCAACTGAAACTCCAGTCACACTGAATATCGATCCTCGGGATCTTCAAATCCAAACTTTCACTGTAGAGAAGCTATTGGAACCTCTCATAATCCAGGTATTATTAATAACATGGAAATTACAGAATGAAATAGCTGCAGAAAACTAAAAATATGGGTGGAATAGTTAATGAACCAAAGAAAGATGTGATTTTTAGAGAATGAATATGTCACCTAAAATTGCCCTTTAAAGTGTTAAAATGTAAATGACGTATTTAGTAATAATAACAATAAAATTGTAAAAGTCACCTACCCAGTTTCTCTTTTTATTTGTTTATTTATTTTATTATTTTTTTAAGATTTATTTACCCATACAGAGCTGGGATACAGGCCAGAGGCTCAGGGGCGGCGAGCGGCTTCACCATGGACACAGTGGGGAGCAGAACAGGCAGATTGATGAAGTACACTGCTGAGGGGGGCAGCGGGCAGACTGAGAAGGACTGCTTCGCCATGAGGGACAACTACCCCTGCTGGGGATTTAACTCACGCTGAGGGGGCAGTGGATAGCTTCTCAGTGCTGTTCTTTAACTCACTGTGCCACCAGGGAGAGCCCAGTTTCTCTTTTTAAAGTAACAATAAAAATAATGTATATATGTAGTTTCAAAATAGCTTTATGTAAATTATCTGATTTCATGAAAACCGACTAAGTAAGGCAGTGTTTTTAAAATTTATTATCTAAATGGGAAAACAGAGACTAGGGAATTTCAGTGACTTGCCCCAAGGCATGTGGTGGCTCATTTGTTAGATAAATTATTTTTCAAATAAAAACACGAGGAAAAAGCTATTTCAAGAATTCTGTGATGAAGTCCTTTTATAATATGTGTAATCATTTTTATTATGTAATTCAGATTTCATTTATTATATTTTCCTTAAGGCAGAATTTCAAGAAACTTATACAGTGGCATAGATTTAATATTTTGGTCTTTAATTCAAAATTTGTGAGGGCACTCTCCTGTAGGCCTGACTTATATCATACTTCCTGAGAAAAATTGCTCTTTCTCTAAGTCCTAGGAGCACTCAAGAGGTGAAATACTACCTTGACCTAACCCCTAGTAGTTTAAGAATGGTTGGCTTGTTTTCACTTGGGGGTGGGTGGTGGGGGTTAGAGCAGATCTGAGGATAGACTTCGTACAATTTTTTATTTGGTACTGTTGATATCTGTTCCTGGAAAAAGATATGCGTCACTGATGACAGGCAATCTTAATGCTGAACTTTGACAATCTTAATAATGCTAATTAGATGGTATGAAATGCATACCGGAAAGTCCTGATATTATCCAGTATTGTAATAATCTCATGTTAAAAAAAAAAAATAAGGCCCTCCCTTGTGGTGCAGCGAGTTAGAAGCGCTGTATTGCAAGCCAGCCACAGCCACTTTGGTGAGAGTTTGACCCCCTCGGTGGAAGTGACCTACAAGGTGCAGTAGACCTCTTCTGTGTTGCCCACTGCTCCCCTCAACAGTTTACTTCGTCGATCTACCTGTCTTGCCCACTGCTCCCCACTCGGTCTATGGTGAATCCTCTTAACGCCCCTGCACCTCTGGCTTGTATCCCAGTTTCGTATGCATAAATAAATAAATCTTTTAAAAAAATGTAATCGTACTCTTTCTGATACAGCTCACTGAAAACATTGAAAAATCAAGACAAAACAGAACAAAAACAAAACAATGAGATTAAAAAGACAATTTAAAATAATATAATAGTTTATTTTTACATCATTTTGTGCCTTTTTCATGTCAGTTGTAATCCCCATGGGCTTCCCATCACAAGATGTGTGCCATCACCATAGTCCAGTGCACTTCCCCTACCCCCCATTTTTGACCCCATTCCCCACTCTACCCCCGTAAAATGTCTCTGGGATATAGTTGTTTATTATTATTTCCCACCCCCTCCTTTATGCTCCTGCTATGAGTGAAACCATACAGTATTTTTCCTTTTCTTTCTGGCTTATTTCACTAAGCATGATCCCTTCCAGCTCCATACATGTTTCTGCAAAAGGCATGTGTTTATTTATTTATTTTTGGTTGCTGAGTAATATTCCATTGTGTATATATACCACATCTTTTTAATCCAGCCACCTACTTTTGGACATTAGGTTGATTCCATGTCATTCCTATTGTAAATAAAGCAGCAGTAAACATGGGGGTGCAGGTATCTTTTGAATCAGTGTTTTTGTATCTTTTGGGTAGATACCTAGGAGTGGGATTGCTGGGTAATATGGAAGCTCCATTTTTAGCAGTAAAAAGACAACTTTACAACTGAAATAGAAACATTAATGTCTTACTTAATGCAAATTATAGCACAGTAAAATATGGGTGATTTTATTATATTGGCTTTTTTTACTATTAAAAATATATACACATATCATATGGGTAAAGAATATATGAAAAGTGGAGCACTTCTATATATATAGAATTTATATTGCTCTTCTACTTGATCTTTTGATAATTTTATTATTGTGTATGAACATTCTTTAAGAGAATTGCTGTTTATTCTTCATATAAATGGATCACTGCTTTTTAAGTGGCCTTTTGGGCCCTCCCTGGTGGTGCAGCAGGTTAAAGATACAAAAACACTGATTCAAAATATACCTGCACCCCCATGTTTACTGCTGCTTTATTTACAGTAGGAATGACATGGAATCAACCTAATGTCCAAAAGTAGATGGCTGGATTAAAAAGATGTGGTATATATACACAATGGAATATTACTCAGCAACCAAAAATAAATAAATAAACACATGCCTGAGAAGCTAAAGCCACTTCCGCATGAGTTCAATCCCCACCTGCCCGGGAGATGACCACATAGCATGGCAGACCTCCCCTGGCCTGCCCGCTGCTCCCCTCAGCAGTGTACTTCTTCGATCTGCCTGTTCTGCTCCCCACACTGTCTCTGGTGAACCCTTTCACCTCCCCTGCATCTCTGGCCTGTACCTCAGTTCTGTATGCATAAATAAATAAATCTTAAAAAAAAAATAAAGTAGCTTTTCATTTTGGACATTTAGGTTGTTTCTATTTTTACTATTATAAAATAACACTTTGTGTAGCAATTTTTGTCATCAGTTCAAATTTTTTTTTAGGATGAGTTTGGAAAAGTAAGTGGCCAAGAATTCTAGTGCTTTTTCATACATATCACCGAGGTTTTTGGGAACAACAAGTTTTACAAGTTCTCACAAGTTATTTAAGATTGTGTTGCTATGCAGTTATTGGGTGTGGGGTTGGCCTCCATTTTGGAGGTGGTTGATAAAGGCAAGTACATTAATGCAGCTGTGTGACCCCTGTTTGTTGCACAATGACAGGGTATTAATAGTCATTTACTTAATAAGCCTTGCTGATCACGGAGGTGGTTGACACACTATTTGTGAGTAGAGAAAGTATCATTATAGAGAAACATTGTGTATGCTATGCTAACTGAAAACAATAGATGTTTTGCTTAATCAAGTATTGATACATTGATAGTCAGTGGACAGAATTTTTTTATTTTAAAGAGTTACTTTATTATTTATGCAGTACAGGCCAGAGGTGCAGGAGGTGAAAGGATTCACCAGAGACAGAGTGGGGAGCAGAATAGGCAGATGGACAAAGTACACTGCTGAGGGGAGCAGCAGGTGGGTCAGGAATGGTCTGCTGTGCCTTGTGGATCACCTCTGGAACTGGGGATAGAACTTGCACTGAAGTGACTGTGGCTAGCTAGCAGTGCTGGGCTTTAATCTGCTGTGCCACCAGGGAGGGCCCAGTCAGTGGAGAGAATTTTAAGTGCATTCACATTAGAGAAGATGTTGTTCACAGTTTGTATTTTCTGGTATTTAAAAAACAACTATCATATAGTTTTATAAACATCGAATCCATGTAGATATTTAAAAGGTAGAATATGACCCAAAATAAAATTATGACTGGAAAGAAATCTAACTCTTGAAAAGTGTGATCATGCTCATTGTAAAGGTGTTTTTTTTTTTTTTTTTTAAAGATCTACTTGTTTATTCATATGGAACTGGGGTATAGGTCAGAGATGTGGAGGGTGAGAGGATTCACCAGAGACAGAGAGGGGAGCAGGACAGGCAGATTAACGAAGTACACTGCTGAGGGGAGCAGCGGGCGGGTCAGGAGAGGTCTGCCGCACCATGTGGATCTCCCCCTGGGCAGGCAGGAATCGAACTCATGCGAAAGTGGCTTTAGCTTCTCAGTGCTTTAACCCGCTGAGCCACCAGGGAGGGCCTTTAAAGGGTTTTTAATGTGGTTTTCATTCTTCATGATCTGCAAGTTGATGAGTCAGGGAAAAGAAAATTAATATTTATTATATGATAGTTCTCAGTTGCACCTAACAGTAATTACTAATTTTATCTTCTTGAAGATTGTCATTAATGTTTTTGAAAATTTTTTATGTCTTAAAGACCATTTAGTATACCACTTTACCATTAACTGAGCTAGAACAGAGTTTCTTGGTCTTAGCAATATTCAAGTCAAGTTGAAATAAAAATATCAATGATTTATAGAATATCTACTATGCTTACAAATTATGTCATAAAAGTTATGGGACAGCAAAATTATGTTGATACATTCTTGAGTTTTGCTAAAATAGGATCCTGCTTTTCAAAAACCAGTATATTTCAAATTCAGAGTTTTTTTTTTTTAAAGATTTATTTATTTGTGCATACAGAACTGGGGTACAGGCCAGAGGCTCAGGGGCGGCGAGAGGCTTCACCAGAGACAGAGTGGGGAGCAGAACAGGCAGATCTACGAAGTACACTGCTGAGGGGAGCAGCGGGCGGGTCAGGAGAGGTCTGCCACGCCATGTGGTCACCTCTGGGCAGGCGGGAATCGAACTCATGCGGAACTGGCTTAAGCTTCTCAGTGCTGTGCTTTAACCCGTTGCGCCACCAGGGAGGGCCCTCAGAGTTTTTAATTTAAATAATTAATTGAAGTATTTGGATTTGCTGCACAATGGTTATGTATCTGTTAGTTTGATTATGTATCACTTATTAATAGAAGTTAAAATTTCCATGAAATTATACTTCAAAGTAGGATAACATTACACATTTTTTTCCAGAGTGTTTAATTTGAA